AATTGCTGAACGGTTCCGAAAGAGATGCCCTGCTGTGGCATTGGTGAAAACGTCTCCCTTTGGGGGCTCTTGAAGGGGAGAGTGTGTGTCCATGTCCATGGCAAGGAAGGGGTCAGCTAAGGTGGCCTCATTTGTTCGATCCGACCCCACCACTTTAGCTTGTGAGTCCCAAAGGTGAGGAACTGCCAAACAAGAGGATCACTCTAAATTAGGAGAGACAAGAGTAATGGAAGGCAGTGGACACTAGCTCTTGCCAGGATGATGAATAACTGCCTGTTGGTTCCCAAAGATGTTGTTGCTGCTGAATATTTATTTCCTGACTATAGGTTCTCCCATGTGGTTCTTGAGCAAGCAATGATGTGTGTCCACCTGTATGGGCTGCGCTTGCTGTTGAGCCAAAAATTTCTCCTGTGTTCCTCTCTCCGCTGCCCAACTCTTCTCCATCAATCAGTGAGGAAAGAAACAGCATTCGGAAATGATCAAAGGGAAGAAGGAAACCACCGGCTTAGAGGACCACCAAATTAGGGTGGCTTTAAGAGAGAGACCAATGCATGGAAGGCGAGGGCTATTGTTGGCTTCTAGCCACCATGGGTGTGCTTTTCCTCTATGGGTGGAGGCAGAGATGCTTCTGAACAGCAGTTGCTGAAAACCACAGGAGGGGAGAGTTGCAGACTGTCTCACCAGAGTGATGCATGCTCTAGTTATCGCTTGCTTGGACTACTGCAATGTGCTCTATGTGGGGCTACCTTTGAAGGTGACCCGGAAACTACAACTAATCCAGAATGCGGCAGCTAGACTGGTGACTGGGAGTGGCTGCCGAGACCACATAACACTGGTCTTCAAAGGCCTACAGTGGCTCCCAGTACGTTTCCGAGCACATTTCAAGTGTTGGTGCTGACCTTTAAAGCCCTAAACGGCCTCGGTCCAGTATACCTGAAGGAGCGTCTCCACCCCCATCGTTCTGCCAGGACACTGAGGTCCAGCGCCGAGGGCCTTCTGGCGGTTCCCTTGCTGCGAGAAGCCAAGTTACAGGGAACCAGGCAGAGGGCCTTCTCAGTAGTGGCACCCGCCCTGTGGAATGCCCTCCCACCAGATGTCAAAGAGAAAAACAACTACCAGACTTTTAGAAGATATCTGAAGGCAGCCCTCTTTAGGGAAGCTTTTAATGTTTAATTGATTACTGTATTTTGATATTCTGTTGGAAGCTGCCCATCTGGCTGGAGAAACCCAGCCAGATGGGCGAGGTATAAATAATAAATTATTATTATTATTATTATTATTATTATTACTCTTGCACTCGGATCCTGCTCGCTGGTTTCCCTTAGGGCCATCTGGTTGGCCACTATGAAGACAGGTTGCTGACCTAGATGGGCTAGTGGCCTGATCCTGCAGCCTCTCCTTATGCACTTATGTTCAACGTTGGTGAAATTCCATGGGTGGGCTGCAGAGCGTTTTGTTTTTGCTCCTGTGTGCATGCTTACCTTACAGTCCAGGTGGCCTGGGGTGTTTGTGGGTGTCCATTCTTTCATTCTGCAATCCTTATGGTCTGCACTTTGCAGCCTTCCATGGGGCCTGAGCTTTACTGTGGATACAGGAAGGTAGGGAGGCTGCCTACTGTGGGCCTGACAGCTTTTATTACTTTTATTGTGCTTATTATTATTATTATTTTAAAGCACATTTTTAAAAAAAGAAATTGCGATGTGATTGCTAAAAGTGTGGAAGATTTTCTTAAGATGAAAGGAACGACTTCCCTTAGAACTAAAATCAATGATTGTGTCCATCTCAGGCATTCAGTAGCCAAACTCTGTGGTTTCTGGCACCTCAGTTAAGTCCCAGGGGGTCCTCTCATGGGACTTTTTTCAAAGCAGGAAGCACTTGGGGCAGCCATGGAGGCTGCAGAGTGCAGGAAGGATGTGTATTGGAAAGGAAAAAATGGACACCACCATTGGTCTTCTTACTACCATAAGGTAAGCTCAACCACATGCATAGTGAAATGAAATACGTTGCAAATGAGGCAGAAAAAAACAGAAGCTTCTGTCATGGGGAGAGAACAATTTTTAAGAAACTAGAGGGCAGGTTTCACTTTGGAACTAAATGGACTTTGCCACTGTTCCCTGAAGGCAGAATCTTCCTATTTCACACACATTCTACTCCTTTCTGCAACCACACAGCAATCATCTCCAGTAGCAGCTATCTCGGTTTATAATGGCTTGATTTCCTCATGTTGACCAACTTCCTTCCTTGGACTGATAAGGATCAATGCTGTTGTGGGTAGACTTTGTAAGTTCACCAGCCAACTGGCAATGTGCTTGACTGTCCCCTTTCTGCTCTCCTTCAGGGCTGATCCTACGCCGGTGCATGCTGGATGAAGACGGCATTGCCTATTGGACCCTTCCAACATATGTCAAGTGTGTTTCCATCGACTACAGGAACATCCAGATGATGGTGAGTGTCGAGGCTGGGCCAGGACCTTGGGAACCTAAATCCAGACCTGGAATGTGCATTCTCCAACTCAGAGTCCCCTAGCTCAGTGGATGGAGTTGAGGATGCACTGGAGAAGTATAGCAAGCAGGAGGTGCTGCTCTGTTGACCAATCATGGAGAGAATTCAAGGTTTCTAGTATTTATATCCCAGACCCATCCAATCCAGAGACTTCATACTGCCTTCCAATCACAGAAGTTGCTGTTACATGGCCAGGTTTTCTTTTCTGTGACTGATAGAGCAACCAAGTCCTGGTGAAGGAATGGGTTTCCCAAACCCAAAACTGACTGTGCAGGCAGTTTGAAACTGCACCAAAATCCCTATTTTTCCTTAGCTAAAATCCATTAACTTGAGCTCTGAGTCAATGTATAAACAAAAACCCGGCCATGCTCAGAGCCCTCTCCTTTATCAGTTTGTGAAGGCAGGGATGACCCTGACTGCACTAGGAGAACAGAGAAGACACATTTGTACCTTATCTTATGTGCTGACCACAAAAGATGCACAGACCTAAGTCCGGAACAACGCCAAAGCGTGTTCTCAGAGATGATGACCTCTTCCTCCAGGATAAGAGTAGGAAGAGGAAGATCCTTTTATGGTCAGAAGTACAGGAAGGAATTCCATTTTATGGTTAAAAATACCAGAGCAAGAACATATGTGATGTCAACCTGCGTACATAGGCTGACGTGGTTGGATTTATATGGGAAGGAGGGAGAGGGTGTCTGGAGGATATATATACTGCATGAAACTTGTCGTTTCTTTGGACTTGCTGTGGACTTCATCACGCAAGTGCCTTCTGCTATCCGGAGAGCAGAATAAACTCTTTCTTTGAACCAACCTCGGTGTCATTTGACTTCCTTCCTCCTGTCCCGGAGCAACGCAGACCCAATCGGTGAACTCAAATAAGGCTACACTGGTAGCTCACCAGGCTAGCCCAAAGCCTTAAATAGTGTGTTTCTTGGCTTAAACTGGTTAAATTGTGGAGAGAATAAGGTAGGTGGAGAGAAATACATTTCTAGCTTTTATAGGACTAGGATACAGCCCAGTGTACAAAGGTAAGCATGTTGCTGAAAAAGGTTCACCACCCCTGTTTTAAGTTAACACATGTCAATTTCTGTCTCCCCAGACAAGAGATCATCTTTCAAAAGCCCAGCGGGGTTTGATAGGGGAAGGGGTGTCGGGTGTGTTGCAAAACCTGGTGGAGATTTCTCAGGATGGGACCAGCTACAGTGGGGATCTGCTCTCGACCATCGACGTACTCAGGAATATGACCGAGATCTTCCGAAGAGCTTATTACAGCCCCACTACTGGTGACATACAGGTGAGCCGGCAGGTTGGAGATCCAACAGCTTGAGCAAGGAGAGATGATTCCAAAAGTCTTCTCCCTGGAGTTTGGAGCTCTGAATTACCTGGCAAATCTGTCCAACATGCTAGGAGGCCTCTGTGGTTCTGCTTTGTACATTTTTTTAATGTGCAGTTTTCTCAATCTTGATCTTCATTTCATCCTCACCTTCTACTTTCCCAAAGTCCATGTGTGCGTTGGTGGAACACTGTCACAAGAATCTGTGATGAGACTGTTGGACCCATATGGCTGTGGTCATGATTTGTAGACTTGGGTCCATCCATTTCAGCATCCGGTTGTATACAGTGGTCCAGCAGATGCATCCAAGAAATCCATAACCAGAATCATAGGACTGTAGAGTTGGAAAGGACCCAATGGGACGTCTAGTCTAACCCTGTGCAATGCAGGAGTCACAGCTAAAGTACTGATATGAGGGCTAGATAATTTCACACATTCCCCGCCCCCTTTGTTTTAATCCTCCAGGAACTGCTCTGAACATAATTGGCTCTGAACACTGAGTTTCAATTTAGGTATCATGGCTAATAGATCTATATAACCTTCCTTAATTTATCTACTCCAATCCCTTTTTAACAGTCAAGAAAAGCCTTGCTTGATTAAACCCATCCAGCCCAGCTTCTTCCTCTCCCAGGGGTCAACCAGATGCCCATGGGAAGCCTTCAGCAACAGTAATTCTCTCCACTTCTGACCCCTAGCAACAGGCCCGTGGACTGTCTCGCCAGAGTGGTGCATGCTCTGGTTATCTCTCGCTTGGACTACTGCACTGCGCTCTACATGGGGCTACCTTTGAAGGTGACCCGGAAACTGCAACCAATCCAGAATGCGGCAGCTAGACTGGTGACTGGGAGCGGCTGCCAAAATCATATAACACCGGTCTTGAAAGCCCTACACTGGCTCCGAGTACATTTCCGAACACAATTCAAAGTGTTGGTGCTGACCTTGAAAGCCCTAAATGGCCTTGGTCCAGTATACCTGAAAGAGCGTCTCCACCCCCATCGTTCTGCCCGGACACTGAGATCCAGCACCGAGGGCCTTCTGCTGGTTCCCTTGCTGCAATGAGCCAAGCTACCGGGAACCAGACAGAGGGCCTTTTCGGTAGTGGCACCCGCCCTGTGGAACGCCCTCCCACCAGATGTCAAAGAGAAAAATAACTACCAAACTTTTAGAAGACATCTGAAGGCAGCCCTGTTTAGGGAAGCTTTTAATGTTTAATAAGTTATTGTATTTTAGTGTTTTGTTGGAAGCTGCCCAGAGTGGCTGGGGAAACCCAGCCAGATGGGCGAGGTATAAATAATAAATTATTATTATTATTATTATTATTATTATTATTATTATTATTATTATTATATTCAGAGGCTTAGTGGAAGGTGCAAAAGGGAGGGAAGGACTAGTAGCCATTGATAGCCTTATCTGTCATAATGAAAGTATGTGTTTGACCCAGTCCTCTCCAGCCATCATGGTTTTCTTGATCAGGGACAGTAGCAGTAAAGTACCAGCTCTACTCCTGGTGCAGTGGGGAGAAAATGAAATTGTTCCTTTTCCCCCCGGCATCTCCAAAATTGCTCTTCCCTCTTGCTTCTCCCCAGTGGCTAGAATGCAACTTTGGAAAGCAAAGTTTCATTTTCGAAATGAAATTTCCCTGGGCCAGAATGAATTGGTTTCAGTGCCATCTATGGACAGAGCCGCAGTGGTCAGTGGGAAAAAAAGGAAAGTATTCGGTGTTCCCATGGCGGAACCGGGAGATAGGATTCGTCATTCTGCAGTTGTCTGTGCAGAGCAGCTATGGGACTGTCCTTGGGGGGAAGGTCACGGTCACATGCCTTTAAAATGTTAAATATATCCTCTTGGATTGCTTTCCCACATGGCGTCGTTGCTAATTATCTAATTGGAAAGGAAATCAATGGCTTTGAAATAAAGACCTCCTCCTTTCCCACCTCCTTCCTGAACTCTCAGGGATGAGCTGGACCGGACGGACGCTCTGGGGAAATGTAAACAGCAGCAGAGCAGGTGTTAGGAGCCTAGGAACAGTTGAGGCAGGGCCATTGGGATTAATGGGGCGTGGCGGCACCAATTTCAGTCTGCCTGCCTTCTTATTTTCAACTCAGTCCAGGGAGTGATGCTGCCTTGTGGCTTCTTCCTCCATTGTCTCAGCGTTGTCCTCGTGAAATGACAGAGTAGTTCAGTCGATAGACCATGAGACCCTTAATCTCAGGGTTGTGGGTTTGAGCCTCACGGTGGACCAAATATCCCTGCATTGCAGGGGGTTGGACTAGATGACCCTCGTGGTCCCTTCCAATTCTACAATTCTAAGATTCTATGAAAGCTAGAATTCATTGTCTCTGCTTGTCATTGTCACTGCCTGCCACTCCCTGCCTGCCACTCCACCAGGCCCAGTGGGCTCAGCGAGCACTGCATAGGAATGAAAGGAGAACCCTGCTGGATCACACAGAAGGTGCACTCAATCCAGCTTCCACTTTCCCACAATGGTCAACCAGAAGCCTTTATGAAGCCCATGAGCACAGGGCACAGGAGCAACAGAGCCATTTTTGTAGAGCCATTTTTGTTGCCTGTGTCCTCCAGGTAGAGTTGGGAGAGGGCGGTGGTGGTATCTAAGCATCTTACCATATGGTTACCAGATGTCCCCGTTTCCCGGGGCCAGTCCCCGGATTTACAAATCTGTCCCCAAACAAAAATCCGTCCCCGGAATGTCCCCGGATTTCATTTAATGTCCCCGGATTTATATTCTAAGTGTTGTAGATTTATTAATAGGGAATAAATGTTGCGTGATTGGATCAACGGCACAAGACACATCATATGGGGTGTTCCGGCAAGGCAAAATGGCAGGCGCCACGGCAGCAAGCAGCTCCTGAAGCCAGCCAGAGCCAACTGTGCTACCAGGCTGGCTGCGGGCTGCTGAGACTGCCACTGCCACTGCCAAGGGGAAACCAGGGATGCCCAGTGTGTCAACTGGGGAAACTGCTGACACCTCCCCCTAGTGACCCAAATCAAACTGGGTGAGAGAGGGAACGGCTACCTGACTGACTGCCAAGCGGAGTTCCAGGGCCAGGAAAACCCTGGAGCTGACGCAGGGAAAAGGAGGAGAGGAGAAGGAGAAGGAAGAGAGAGAAAGAGGAAGGAGGAAAAAAAAGGAGCCCCGACTTTTCTGAGCTGCTGCTGTCACTGAGGAGGAGAGGTAGGAGAGCACTGGGAGGGCAAGGACATGTGGCCAATCCCAGGCCCGACCCGAGCCTACTCCATGGTGGCTAGCGCTCCAAGAGAGCAGGCCGGGGCCCAGAGGAAGGCCGCGTGACAGAGGAGACCACAGAAGAGAAGATATTACTTCTTAATATTTTTTTTAAAATAACTTTTTTCAAAATAACCTTTTCTCCCTCTTTCTTTAAAAAAAGTGTCCCTGGATTCTTTTTTTTGGGGGGGGGGGAATTTGGTAACCTTATCTTACCATCTGTTGTCAGGATGCTGTCAGCGGCTCCCAGCTGGTTGCCCAGGAAAGTATAAAGAAAAGGAAAAGTTTCTTACTGTCCTTTTTTATTTCAATATTACAGAGAGAGGCTATAGAACCCAGCCTCTTGTCTTGGATAATGACGTTGTCCCCAGTGAATCTCCACCCCCCCATCTCTCCCACTTCCTCATTCATCACTTCTACAGGTGCTGCTACCTGTCCTCTGTCTTTGAGCTCTTTGCTCTCCTACTTTTAAGGCTCGCCGGGTTCTGGGAGATGGAGGGCCTGGAATGCTTTCTAATGACAATGTGTCAGCAAGGTGTTGTTCTGGGTTTCCCATGATTTCCCAGCTTTCCCTCTCATCTGCCTCTGAGCTGTGACCTCCCTCAAACCCCTGTTGCAAATCTATACTGCCTTCCTTTTCCTCCTTCCTGGAAGGGTGAGGATGGGGAGGCGGTCTCCACCGTTCCTCCCTTACTCAGTCCCTGACACCATCTGGGATACATTTCATGGAGGTGGGATTCAGGTAGGGATGAAAAAAGGCAGTGTTTTCCTTTCCTCCCTTGCAGTTCTTGCAGGCAGCACCCCTTCTGCTGCAGTCAGTTCATCTCACTGCCCGCTGTGGCGAAATGCACAAATTGCATTGCCGTCACTTTATTCCACCCCATTCACTTCAGTGCAAAGGGAATGCAACACAAATGGAGAAGGGGAAAGTAGTCAATTGCATGTTGTTTGTGGACCCCAATCAATGAGAACAGTGAATTCTGGCCAGGCGGTCTGGCTTAATTTCCCCTCTGGACACTGGACGAGTAAGCAAACGTTGGCCATTTCCATTCCTGTTTCCATCTCCAATGAAATTCTCTGACATCCCTGATCCAGGGTTTGCTTTCACGAAGCACACATTTTTTTCTGGGCTCTTCTGGGTCAGCTCAGAAGTGGATGGAGATGTGTAGCATGACTTTCAGACAACTGCAGGGCCGTTTCCTTTTCCAGGGCAGCAAAATGGGTTTACCGAGAGCAGTGGAGCAAATTCTAGGGACATAGCAAGCAAATTTCCTTCTACTGCATGGGCCCATTAGTCCACCTAGTTCAGTATTGTCTGCACTGACTGGTAACAGCTCTCCATGAATTCAGACAGAGGTGCCTCTCCCTGGAGATGCCGGGGACTGAACCCGGGACCTTCTGAATGCAAGGCAGATGCCCTTTCACTGAGCTATAGCCCTTCTAGGGATGAGCATATGCTTTGGGCAAGACCTGATGTGTCATGGATGAAATCAAACCTTTCCTCGGATCACAGCTTTTGCTTCTTTGTTTTGTTTTTGTGTCCTAGAACTTTGTCCAGATAATTAGCAACATCCTGACGGAAGATAACCGAGACAAGTGGGAAGAGGCTCAGCTGGTATGAGAACCTTGTTCTTCAAATGGGCATCATCAGCTTTGGGAGTTTTGTATGTGTAAGAGTGCAAGTGTCTGTCTCTCAGGGGTTTTAACAAGGCTGTGAGTCAGTGTGAACATTTCAATATTTATCTAGCCCTTTCCCCCTTGGTTTCTTCAAAGCACCTGACAGGCACTATCTCTCAGGTCCTGTTCCAACACTTTAACCAATGAACCACACTGCAGATTGGAAGAGCTGATGGGGAATGCTTGGCAAGGCAACCTAGAGCAGGAGTGGGGAACCTCTGCCCTGGGATTTGAATGTGGGCCTCCATAGATCTGTGGGATGGAATCCACTGGAGCAGTGAAATGCAACATTCCTTGTTTCCCTAGAGTGGATACAGACAGGGGGTGTTACTCCAGCCAAGGTAGAATTTCCTGTTACACCTGATCTGGAGCACACTCCCCTTGCATGTGACCAGGTAGGTGGGCGTGACTCTTGCAGACCTAACAAAAGGTCCAGTCAGTAGCAACATCTTCCTCTTTTGGTGCCATTTCTTCTCTTGGACTGCACTGCTGGCTCTCTGCCAGCAGCACACGGGCCCATCCTTACAAGGATGTAAGCCACACGGTATCTGTAACTACAAACTAAAGCCTGCCTTCAGGGATCCAACTGTGAACTGAATGTGAGTAAACTTGTCATACTTTTAAAAGAAGACTGTTGTGTTTTTATTCTTTTCAGGAGGGATAAAAGGGGACTAGTTCCCCACACTGGGCACCAGTAAGCAGTTGCCCAGCTATGGGAAGGAGGCCTGAGGGCAATCACAGGTCCTAGAGTCCTCCGTGCTCCTTCCCAAAGCCTAGTTAGTGCTTGGCCAGCTTTGGGAAGGTGTTGGGAGGGCTCTAGGACCCTCAAAATCCAGCACAATGTGAGGGCTGCGGGGTGCAGGGTATGCCAAATTTTGGCCTCGCTCCAAAAGCCATAGTACCAAATTCCACCACTGCACCATACCTGAAATCCAGACTGTGGCAACAATACTCCGCTTGCACAACAAATCACACCCCCATTCCACTGTGTCCTCAGCCCCGTTGTTTCATCTGGATGACAATATCTGATGACAACCGATGTCATCGTAGGATGCAGCCAATCAGATTTGTCTGCATGACATCACCATGGGCACATCCTCGCTTTAAACTAGCCTTGTTTTCCTTCAGAGGTGCCATTTTGTGGATGGATCCAATTGGCTGCATGACAATATCACTGTTATTAAGGGAGAAGGCAGGCTATTATTATTATTTTTTAAAAAAGAAGTGGTGCTACAGCTGCAGTCGATTAGGATGCAAACAGCTATGAACTAATGCTAGGGGGAAAGGGGGCAAACTTTGGAGAAGCAATTCAGGCATCCCTTAAAGCTGCTGTTTCGTGCCGAAAGTGTTGCAGCTCCAAATCCTGCTAGCGGATTTTCAAATCCATCCTCTGCGAATGCAGGAAGAAGAGGAGTTTGGATTTGATATCCCATTTTATCACTCCCCATAAGGAGTCTCAAAGCGGCTAACAATCTCCTTTTCCCTTCCTCCCCCACAACAAACACTCTGTGAGGTGAGTGGGGCTGAGAGACTTCAAAGAAGTGTGACTAGCCCAAGGTCACCCACAGCTGCATGTGGAGGAGTGGGGAAGTGAACCCGGTTCACCAGATTACAGGTCCACCGCTCTTAACCACTACACCACACTGGCCTGGGAAGCCTGTGTGGAAGGACTTGGGCTGTGACAGAGGTGTCTTCCCTTACATCCTCTATCCTATTTCCAAATAAAATCCCAGGAAGATCTATGTGTGCTAAATCCAATAAATGCAGGAGGAGGGGGGAAAAACTAGGGAAGAATGAGCTGTCCAGGATCAACTCATTGGATGTTGAAATCACCTTTGTGCTGTAGGCCAGTTATATACCAGTTTGGCATAACAAGCTGCTGCGCTGAAAATATAAGCCTTTGTGGGAATGTTCAGGGATGCAGGAGAGAATATACTGTCTGATTATAGCCTTTCCAATTTGTATAAACAAGTTCACAATTTAGCAGAGTAACATTCCCCTTTTTAAACTCGCAGTGGATGTGTTTGCTCAGGCTCGCTAAAGCCTCTATAATAACTGTTCTGGTATTTCCCCCTTATTCCCTCATAAAAGATAAGACACGACACAGTCTTCTATAAAAGTATAAAAAAGAGTTTACTCACATTCTGTTCACAATCAGATCCCAGAAGGCAGATTTAGCTTAGAAACGTAACATATACCTGGAAAGTATCCCATAAAGAGACAGTCCCTTTGTCCTCTCTTGGCTGGAGGCCAAGAGAGCACATTTGGCTAAGCAGATGTTGCATGTAGTCAGAGAGAGAGATGGCTGCCCTGCCCTGTGCTTTTGTTGTTACCTGCACAGGTGAGGCCACCCCCACCTCTAGTCACATGGAGAGGAAGTCTGTCCCAGCCCAGAAGGAAACAGGAAGTTTACCTGCTGGCTGGACAAACATTCCTCCCCATGTGTAAACATGTTCACTCTAGGAATGCTGTACTTGACTGCTCTTGTGTTTCACATCCCACAGCCAGGCTTTCTGTGCATATCTGCAGGCCTTGGACACTGTCACAAAATCAAGGTGCTAGTCCTCAGGACTTAAGAGAAAATGGGGCAGCTGTTTGTCTGATGAAATACCAGGAACCGGAATAGTGACAAATGGGACCCAGATCCAGCTATGCAGCTTGCTTAATTTCTCCTTTCCTCACCCCAAAAAGTCATGTTGAAATACAGTTGGGCTCCTTTTCATCACCATCTGAAAGTTCATTACTTTGTTCAGGTTTGGGGAAGAAAGTTACCTTGCAGGCTATATGTGATACTCGAGGTACCCAATGTGCTTAATGTTTGAAGATAGCACAGCATTTGGGTGATATTTAATGCTGTTTGCTCAGAGTCCCACTCAGGACTTCCCTTCCCTCTTTCTGTGTGCCTTAAAAATCAGCTCCTGAGAGTCCAGAAAAGAGGAGGAATTTCTTTTGCACAAGAGAATGTCTGCTGCAATAGCAATACAGTAGCGTTGGAAACAGCCCTTTATTTTTATTTTGTGTATGATTTTATGATGATGTATGCCATTCTGCAATGGTCAGGTGAAGGCCAGTCTAGAAAAACTCATCATCGTCATCCAAAAACATGAATACATTTCACAAAATTGACAGTATAAAATTTTCAGGATCTATTGTGACTGTTATCCTGGTCTTACTTGAGGAAGTGCTGTGTCTGTTTGTTTGTGTGTGAGAGAGGAGGAAGGAGGACCCCAATTTGAACTTAGTCCTGGGTTATCAGCAATTATGGTCCTGCAGGTCTATTATGGTCCTGCAGGTTTATTATTATTATTATTATTATTATTATTATTATTATTATTAAAAATAAATAAATGCATGCCTTTGCAGATGGGACCGAATGTCAAGGAACTTTTTAGGCTGGTGGAGGACTTCATTGACGTCATAGGATTTCGTATGAAGGACTTCCAGGATTCCTATCAAGTGACTGAAAACCTGGGTGAGTAGGTTGGACCACCCCATTCCTGAATGCCTTTAGCCAGCTGATCATTTCAAAACATTAATAGCATTTATTCTTTTTCTGCAGTTTGGCTTTATTGATGGGGGGTATCAGTGGGGAGGCTGTTTATCCAATTCCTTCTTCTAGGGAAAGAGACACAGAGCGAGCTCCAACTGCTGGCTTCTTTAGGATACATTTGCATGTAATGTGTAGTTTGGCCCTTGGGACATTTTGGTTTATTTATTAGCAAAATACAGCCCTATACCCTCAGGTCTCAGGGCAGTTACAACATAAAATCACAATATAAAAACACATAATGCATAATAAAGCAAAAAACAGAACAATAAAAAACCCCTCCACAACACATTTTGGAGGGGCATTGGATATCAATCAACCAAAGGCCTGGTTGAAGAGGAACATTTTTGCCTGGTGCCTAAAGGTATCTAATGAAGGTGCCAGCCAAACCTCCCTGGGGAGAGCATTCCACTGATGGGGAGCCACTGCAGAGAAGGCCCTGTTTTCATATTGCCACTCTCTGGACCTCTTGAGGAGGAGGCACACAAAGAAGAGCCTCAGAAGATGATATTAGGGACTGGGCAGGTTCATACGGAAAGAGGTGGTCCTTGAGGTATTGCAGTACTGAGACATTTAAGGCTTTATAGGTCAAAACCAGCACTTTGAATTGGGCCTGGAAACTAACTGGTAGCTGGTGCAGTCAGACCAGGATCAGTGTAGTTATATGTTCAAACCATCTCGCCCAGGTGAGCAACCTGGCCACCAAATCTGCACTCACCTTGCAAGCAGAACTTCCCTGGTTCAGGTTCAATCCTTGGCATCTTCAGGTGAAAGGATAAGGAAGCAGATGCTTCAGACATTCTCTGCCTGAGACCCCTGGGGAGATGCTGCCAGTCAGATTAAGCTGTCCAGGGCTAGATGTACCAATTGCCTGACTCAGCTTAACTCGGCATCGTACGTTCCTGTCGTGCGGAGTTAATTTGTTCAGACAAGCCGTGTATAACAATAGGCGCAACTAAGACAAACTTCATTACATCACATTAATTTGCTGCACCACTTACATCTACCTCGGAACACTTGGCAATAAAGCAGAAAATGAAAGGTCAGCAATAAAATGACAAAACCTCAGTAGCATAAGAAGAACGGTTGTCAACATAGTAGTGGCCACAAAACAGTGAAGGATGCAATCGTCTTATTAGCCATCATATGTTGCAGACCTGTGTTTTTCAGTAGGTAATGAAAATAAGTTGTTGAAGGGGGATGAGAGTAATTCCAATCAGAGGGAATTTCATAATTGAGGAGCCACCACCAAAAAGACCCTACCAAGAGTCTCTGCCTAATATTGATATTGAATATTGCAAACTCCACAGATTCTACATACTTCGTCGTTCCTTTCTTTTAATCTTATCAGTTAGTAAGGTAAAGGTAAAGAGACCCCTGACCATTAGGTCCAGTCGTGGCCGACTCTGGGGTTGCAGCACTCATCTCACTTTATTGGCTGAGTGAGCCGGCGTACAGCTTCCGGGTCATGTGGCCAGCATGACTAAGCCACTTCTGGCGAACCAGAGCAGAGCACAGAAACACCGTTTACCTTCCCGCCGGAGCGGTACCTATTTATCTACTTGCACTTTGAGGTGCTTTCAAACTGCTAGGTTGGCAGGAGCAGGGACCGAGCAACGGGAGCTCACCCCATTGCGGGGATTCGAACCGCTGACCTACTGATCGGCAAGTCCTAGGCTCTGTGGTTTAACCCACAGCACCGCCCGCATCCCTACCTTGTCAGTTACAAACATTTTAATACCATTTCCTGCTGCCTGATAGATGGAGCTCCTGTACTTCTCCAATATCCCTAGAAGGTGCTAACAAATAGGAACCTGATATCTCAGTTGTGAGTCCCGATAGGTTCCTCACTCCAACAATTTCCATTAGAGTCTCCAAAGCTCTACTCCAAAAGGCTTGAACGCATGATGAGTGCATTATATCAAAGCTTATCTGTCTGCCCTGCCAACAACCAGGAGAAACAGATGTGAAAAATGTGCTCTGTAATTGAGACTGTCATTGAAAGTTCTTTATATGGAACAGTTGAATGAATTTAACTCAGGGAGGGGAAACATTTTCAGCCCAAAGTTTGCGTTCCCTTTGGGGCAACCTTCTGAAGACCACACTCAGTGGCTGGCAGGGCCAGAAGCAGAAATTGGGCAGACCAACAAGTTCAAAATTTACCTTTGGACAGTAGGTACACACACCCTTCTCTATCCTCCCTCCGGATGAGCAAAGACCCATTCTGGCGAAGCAGAAATGATCAGGGAGGTGGCGGGGGAGAGAGAAGGAGGACCAGTGAAGGGCGCAGGCTAGAGAAGGCTCAAAGGGCCAGATACAGAGACCTGGAGGGCCACATTTGACCCCTCAGATGCGAAGTTCCAGGCCCCTGATTTCACTCTCTATTCCTCTTCCGTACGCCCACAACCAAGCTGCCAAGTTGTTCTCCTGCTCTAAATGTCTGTTGTTACTCCAGTGCGTGCGAAACTCACTGGGCAGATGAAAGTTGGCTTGATTTCTTCCTCTCTCTCTCTTCCTCTCTCCTCTCAAGTCCTCAGCATCCAGAAGCTCCCTGCCAACGCAGCCAAAGACATTAGCTTCCCTATGAAAGGCTGGCGGGGCATGGTGGATTGGGCCCGCAGTGCAGAGGACAAGGTCACTGTTTCCAAAAGCATCCTGTCCACGGGGGTTTCAGGTAAGGGGAGTGGGACGACTGCAGGTGAGATTTTTCCTCTTGGCGCAGGCTGCAGACAGAAGCATGTCATGGAGGAAGAGCAGTATGTGTTTATTTTGCCTTTTTATTCCGATCAATATAGATACGATACAGATAGATAGAGATAGAGAGAGTAGCTATAGATATAGATAGATATAGGCATATGATATCCAAGGATACTTTATTCAGACTTGGATTATCTTCTCCTTGTTCTATGTTTCTTAGCAAATAATTCACTCTCAGATTCTTAAGTAAACAAGAAAAAACTGCAGGGTTTACCCACTTATCAAAGCCTTGCCATGGTTCAACAGATGCATTGATGAAAACCAGGCAGGCTGGTTTAATCCTTAAACGTTACAAATATCCACCGTCCAGTTCAAAATGGAAATTGCTTTCCAGAGGAGAGCAAAGATACGTCTTCTCCCATCGCAGGCAGAAAAAGGAGTGTGTAGTGACAGGAAGGAAGAGGTAGGGATTAACCCATGGTCTTCCCCCACACACATACACTAGGTTTGGGGGTATGACATCATAGAGTCCCCTCTATGCAGGTTCTGAAACTCCATGGTGCCATTGCCCCTGTTTGAGGGCTGTCTAGCAATCATGCATTTGTGATTTGGCTGCTTTGAACTACAACTCCCATCAGCCCCAACCCACCATAGCCAATGGTCTGGAACAGTGCTTCCCCCCCTAGAAAAATAGGTGCCGGTAATCACCATGAAGTTGTTACAATAAGCGCCACACTTTTTCACAACAAAAATAGGTGCCAGTACGGGGTACCCCTGAATACCATCTGAGAAAAAAAGGACTGGTCTGGAATGACACGAGTTACTTTCTTTCACTCCATCTTGCCATGCTAGACATTCTCTCTGACTGATGCCCACCTCTCTCTTTCTTGCTCGCTCATGCCTTGTTCCTGCCCATCACCTCTCAATGCCACCTTGAGCCAGTTCCTCTCCCTCTCCACTTATTCTGTTGCTTGTTTTTGCCCTGTTGCTTCTTCACAGAGACAGATGACTCCGCTGTCTTCGTGGTGGGGACAGTACTGTACCGAAACCTGGGTGGGATCCTCTCCCTTCAGAGGTAAGGCTGATGCACGTGTTTGTGAAATGAGTTGGGAGTGGGTAGTCCATTGGTCGGTCATGGACATCTTAGAACAGAGGTGACAAATCATTCCCTAACCAACCTTACACAGTTGGACTCCCAGAGTTGCATATGGTTGATAAGCAAGCAGAAGTGAGTGAGGGGGTCAGTCCACTTATTCACCAGCAGATCTGGATCTAAGGATCAGGAATGTGGTCAAAGAGTATCTAAGCTATGGTTACCAGATGTCCCCGTTTCCCAGCCCCCGGATTTACAAATCTGTCCCTGGACAAATTCCGTCCCCGGAATGTCCCCGGATTTCATTTAATGTCCCCGGATTTATATTTTAAGTGTTGTAGATTTATTAGTAGGGAATGAATGTTGCGTGATTGGTTCAACGGCACAAGACACATCATATGGGGTGTTCCGGCAAGGCAAAATGGCAGGCGCCATGGCAGCAAGCAGCTCCTGAAGCCAGCCAGAGCCAACTGTGCTACCAGGCTGGCTCCGGGCTGCTGAGACTGCCACTGCCAAGGGGGAACCGGGGAAGCCTGGTGCATCAACTGGGGAAACCACTGACACACAACCCTGTGACCCAAATCGGGCTGGGTGTGAGAGCGCCTGGCCAACTGGCTGACTGCCAAGTGGAGCTCCGGGGCCAGAAAACCCCGGAGCCGATGCAGGGAGAAGTAGGAGAGGAGAAGGAGAAGGAAGAGAGAGAAAGAGGAAGGAGGAAAAAAGAGGGGGCCCCGACCTTGCGAGCTGAGGAGGAGAGGTAGGAGAACACTGGGAGGCAAGGACATGTGGCCGAGCCCAGGCCCGACCCAAGGCTACTCCATGGTGGCTAGCGCTCCAAGAGAGCAGGCCGGGCCCAGAGGAAGGCCACGTGACAGAGGAGACCGCAGAAGAGAAGATATTACTTCTTAATATATATTTTTAAAAATAACTTTTCTCCCTCTTTCTTTAAAAAAAGTGTCCCCGGATTCTTTGAAAGAAATCTGGTAACCTTAATCCACATATTAAGATAAGGGAGTGATTTCTAGCAGCCGACAAGAGGGATGTTGCTTAACCCTTACCCTACCAATGATCTCCTGGGACTCCCTTATCCCAGATTTGTTCTCTCCAGCTGAGGCTCTGGGTGCATTTTTGCCACATCACATGAACCATCAGCTGGGGAAGGAAGTGTCAGGAGGAAGGCAAGAGAAGGCTTAAGCATTCTCTCCCACCAGCTGTGTCTCCACTGCTAACCAGACCACCCCTCCCTACTGCTCCGTTTCAGCTGCTCATCAGCAACTTGGGATCTCAGACCTGCTGAATGTGCGGTTTGGTCCTTAAAGGCCACAATGCCATATTGCACAGAGCTGAAACATGATGACATGATGCCGTGCCTTTATAGGTCTCAATGAAAACCATTGACTTAGAATCATAGAACTGTAGAGTTGGAAGGTACCCCCAATGGTCTAGTCCAACAATTGTAGATGTACTTTGTACTTTGGATCTGCACCCATTTAGACATCTGTCTGGGCTTTTGAAGGCAAAGCCAGAAGCTCTGGCCAGCCAACTGCACACAGGGCAAGCAATGGCGGTTGGGATCTGTGCATTTAAGTGGTGAATGTGATGTGTAATTGCAAGCAGCAATGCATGTGGGATGTGGAACAAGGATTCGGAACTGCTCTTTGAGAATCAGCTGCCTGCTTTGATGGACAAGTGTCCTGAAAATGATCAGGTGGGAAGGCAGGGATATTTACAAAAAGGGGGTGTCTTTGTGCATACTCCCTAGGGCAGAGGATTCTTCCAAGTTCCCTCTCTGTGGCGTTCCTCTTGAAGAGTGTCTCATGTGCTCTCTGGAGGTATTTTTTTGTGATGCTTTGGGAGCACTCCTGCACAACCATCCTGCTGTGTGCTTCCGACTTCCTCTGTGCTGCCTTGGGGCTTGTGAGTCTCTGCAATCTCTGATGGTAACAGAGAGATCTCTCTGTTCTACATCTCACTTTCCTTGCCTCTCCGTCTTCTCTCTGAGGCCGAGGCAGGTACTGAGGCAGCAAATTAAGCCTCCCTCTGGCACCTTCAAGATTCGTTCTGCACTGATTAGCATGAGAGCGTTTCCTGTAAATTCCAGGCCTTTGCTCCCGGCTGGTTATCATTGAAGGTACCTGCAGATTTGAAGCTGCATCTAGGCTTGGGACGTGTGAGCAGATTAGTGAGCAAATAGTCTATACTCTCTGATGTCCCCTCTGTGGGATTCGCTTGGGAGATCAATCCCCGGGTGGAGATGTGAATTAAATGCAGCAAGCCATAAACAAATGCGGTGTTAAAAAGTGATTGCACGTCTTTGATAACTGTGAAGTGTCACAGGTGAGGTTGTGAGCTGGACAGACGCCTGATTCCAATCCTGCCACAACCATGAACTCAGTAGGTGTCCTTTGGGAAGTCAGTGGCCACACAAACCTATCCCCATCTGTCAAATGTTGACAGTGACACAACCTACAAAGTAGTTGCGGATTTCCAGCATCTTATCATCTCAGAAAGATGTGTGGTTAGCAGTCCTCCAGTGCCAGAGATTAGCTGAGTTTGTTGGCAATTGCAAGCACCTCTGCCAGGCCTTTGGGATTTTGAGCTTATCTGGAGCCAGTGATTTTCTAGGTTGGGCACTTGATGAGGGTCCCAGGGCTCAGAAGTGCCCCTCACCAGTCTGACCTGCTGCCCACCCCCTACAGCCAGGCAGAGGCAGGGCAGGAGAAGAGGCTGGTAGCGCTGCTGCTACAAAGAAGATGAAGTTTGGTACCAGCTCTGTTTTCAAGTATGGGCCTTGTATTGAGAGGAGCAGATAGAAGGATGCTGCATACAAAGCTGGGATTCCAAAGCTCAGCTGTTTTAATATTTTGCGGTTGTTTTAATGTGGCGTACAGCTTGCGATCTGTCTAGGATGAAGGGCAGGGAATCAAATTCACAAATACATAAATAAAATAAATCTAGCACCTCCATACGAGCCTACCCATTCATTAAAGTCGCCCTTAAGTCCAAACACCAATTCCCTGCCCTGAGTAGTCCAGTCTTCAGAGATTAGGCAGATAGTTTTCTCTGTGGTGGGACCCCATTTGTAGTACAGGCAATCCCTGTTTTAGGCATGACCAATATATGTGGGATCATACACACAAATAGTGGCGAACCCAGAAGTGACCGAGAATGTCATAAAAGACATCACTAAAAGGGCACGGCAGAGCGGGGATGGAAGAGGGCGGAGCGAGGTGTTTTGATTGCATGCTATTTCATGCAAGCATAAATTGACCCAGAGCACAACCCCTACACAAATCAGGGGTTGCCTGTACAAACACGTTCAATAAACACACAAGACGTAACCAGCTGTATGTTTGAAAAAATAATATATACTATTCATTGTATTGAATTGTAGATTTCAACAGAAGTAGTTCATAAAGTTCAACAAAAAAAGTAGAAGACCCAGTGGATCAGTCCATTCTCTGATCAATTTATGGATAAGGTCCACATACATGAAAGTGTCTATTTCACCTGTCTGTTCATAGAGTCCAACAATCCACACGAAAGGTTGTTGCAGTTCCACAGAATCCTTTCACAGAGTCTAAGACAAGGATTTCCGGAACATTAGCCTTGTTTTGCCGTCCTAGGCTTCATCAGTAGTACAAACTCATATATGATATCACAGGGCAGTGGATCTTATAGCATAGTAATACTTGTCTTAGACTCTGTGAAAGGATTCTGTGGAACTGCAACAACCTCTTGTGTGGATTGTACAAATTCCTTGGCAATATCTCCACAGCAGCATAAACTGTGGCATTTGCCTTCACAAGAGGTAGTGATGGCCATCAACTTCAGAAGAAAATTAGACAGATTCATGGGGGACGAGGCTGTCAATGGCTACTTGCTATGATGGCTATGATCAGAGGCAGTAATGCTTCTGTATACTGATTGTTGGGAATCAGAAGTAGGGAGAAGGCTGTTGCGTGGCACGTTCCTGTCCCTCCCAGTGGAAATAAAGACACACGACACAATTATTTAAGGTTAATGGGCTAAATATGGCCACAACTTTATTGGTTACAGGTGATGAGCGGTATTGGCTTAGGCATTGGTCCTAACAGACTATCCGGCTTCAGCTTGAAGTCCTGGAAGGGTTAATCACCAGTAAGGCGAGTCCTGCTGATGCACATCAACTAGGAATTCCCCTGGGGTCACTGCTAGGGGGCGTGCCTTAGACCCTCACCTCCCCAGGCTTCGGACAGGGCCACACCCCCCAGAATCCTTTATCGGACTACCCTTCAATATGTGGGGCAGGTGATGGCGTTTCCTCCCCTCTTCCATCTACAAAACAATACCAATACCAATGCCTAACCATCAATGCTAAGAAAGTTGTAATGATTTGCTATGAGGTAGGCGAAAACCAAGTGGCTGGTGCCAATTTGCCAAGTGGAAAAATTCCTACCAGGCCCCTCAACGGCGACCAACCAAGGTCCATAGCAAGGTCAAGGAATGAAAACCTTATAGGGTGGGAGGGTGGGAAACAGGAACAGCTGGTATGTGGGAAAATAGGGAGATCCCCAGCCGCGCCTGCGTTTACATCGGGCAGGCCACACCCCCAAAGACAGCCGATTTGCTGGCCAGGGGGTGACATGGCCGGGGATTCCCCCAATTGGGGGGGGGGCTGGGCTCCAGCCTCCGTGTGCATGACACCCGCAATTCCACCTCCTCTGCAGGTTGGAAGTGGCTTTGCGCTAATATTCTCCTTGTGGGCTTCTTACAGAGTCATCTGGTTGGCCAATGTGAGAACAGGATGCTAATAGAGATGAACCTTTAACCTGATCCTGCTCTTTGCTATGTTCTTATCTGCCTATGAGCTTTTATTGTTATATGTTTCTCATTTAGTCACCTGGTTGCTTTGTTCTCTTAAGTTTCTGGGTAACAATATTGTGATTTTCGCTGCTGGCCTTTTGTCTCCTTGTATTTATTTCATTGTTCCAACATTGCTGTTTAATCCATCAGTTTTAAAGCGTGCCATGCTGATCGCAAACTGCCTTAGGCAGATTTTGTGCAAAGGTGGAATCACAACACTTGAAAATGAATAACGTCAGGGGAGTTTCTCCCCATTGCTGTGACTTCTCCCCATTCTGCCCCTTCGCTGCCTTTTGACATGCTGTGTTTTCTCCCTAGAAATACTACAGTTCTGAATTCCAGAGTCATCTCTGTGACTGTGAAACCAGCTCCCCGCTCACTGCTCACCCCAATGGAAATTGAGTTCTCCCATTTGTACAATGTAAGCACCTACTTCGCTAAAAAAGGAAAATGTCGCTGATATGAATGAAGTTCAATATAGCTGCCCCCACCCCAAAACCCTATGACATCTGAGCCTAGGAAGAAACACTGTATTTTGAGAGGTTGGATGTTTTTTGGGGGAGGTGGGTAAACTTGAAAAGAGAAATGTATGGGTTGCTTTGTTTTTAAATGGTAAAGGCATATAGAAAGGTTGGGATCATCTAGATCCCCTATGGTCTTCTAGATCAGTTGTCTCCAAGGCTGGGTCTCCACATGTTGTAGGACTACAACTTCCATCAACTTGATCTTTGGCTCAGCTGCGACTGATGGGACTTGGAGTTTGACAACAGCATCTGAATTAACATCTGAAGGGCTTCCACGTGGAAGATGGAGCAAGCCCATTTTCTGCTGCTCCAGAGGGTCAGACCCAAACCAATGGATTCAAATTACAAGAAAGGAGATTCTGACTAAACCTTAGGAAGAACTTTCTGACAGTGGGAGCTATTCAACAGTGGAATGGACACCCGTGGAAGGTGTTGGGCTCTCCTTCATTGGAGGTCTTTGCATGGAGGTTGGATGGACATCTGTCAGGGATTCTTCAGCTGTAGTTCCTGCATTTCAGGGTATTGGACTAGATGACCCTTTGGATCTCATCCAACTCTACAATTCTATGATTCTATTTACATCTGGGGACACTGAACGATGAAGACCTCTACTCTAGATGTTGCTGGGTGACAGATCCCATCAGTTCCTGAACATTGGCTCTGCTGGCAAGGGCAGATGGGAGCTGGAAGCCAACAACACTGGGAGAGTCATTGGTTCCCCAGCTGTGGTTTAGAGGAAGTTGAGTTTGAGAGTTCACCCATATGCAGCAACAGGAAGTGTGGCTGGACTACACTTCCTACCTAGGATGCCCTAAAGGCCTCTGAGGCAGGAGAGGGAGGTGGAAATGGGGCGAACTAAAGTTTCCATGGGACTAGTTTTGCTTCACCTGGATAATAATTCATGTACATGTTATGCTGTATTTAAGCAGATCTCTCAGTCAACTATTCAACACCATCTCTTTTCTCCTTTCCTCTTTTCTCATCCTGGCAGGGAACTACCAACCAGACCTGCATCCTATGGGAGGAAACTGATGTGTAAGTTCAGTGGGTTGTTTTTCTCGCTGTTGGATCAAGAAAAAGAATTGTTTATTCATTGGGTGGGGGAAGGTTGCCATTGTAGAGTGTATTTGCAGCACAGAAGGAATGGTCGGACACCCTTTGTTTCTTAACTCATGCGATTGGATAGTCCTTCCAATTCATCCCCACTCTGATCTGTGTCCATCTTATGGTGTAGAAAGCAGAGATGTCAGGGAATTTCAACAAAAACTTAAAACAGGACTGGAAATGGCTCGTGTTCGCTTTTTCATCCCATGCCCAGAACAAACATCAACCCATCGAATGCAATGAGTATTCACCCTTGTGATTGCAGTTTGCAAATGATTTGTAATGGTTCTCATTCCCTTCCCCTTCCATTTGTACAGTGGTACCTCAGGTTAAGAACTTAATTCGTTCCAGAGGTCCATTCTTAACCTGAAACAGTTCTTAACCTGAGGCGTGCTTTCGCTAATGGGGCCTCCCGCTGCCGCTGTGCTGCTGTCACGCGATTTTCATTCTTATCCTGGGGCAAAGTGCTTAACCTGGAGCAACCACTTCCTGGTTAGTGGAGTTTGTAACCCGAAGTGTCTGTAACCCGAGGTACCACTGTACTTTGTTTCCTTTACACTGAAATCAATGTGGCAGAGCGACATAATGGCAATGTAAGTTACACAATATTTGTAAACAATTGCATACTGTAAGTTCATCAAACAGCCCATGTGCCCATTGCAAAATCAATTATTGAGATTCTCAAAATTAAACCATAAGGAAGGGAGAGCGGAACACAGAGGAAGCACCAGCCCAAGGAACGCAACTGGCTGAGGGATAGCAGCTCTCCCCTTTCTTATGGATGTTTCATAAATTAAAACTTTAATGTGGACATATAAAAGGTTTTATGACTGCGCATAAGATTCTAGCTCATGTGCCTTGCATAGCACATCTTCCCATGCTGAGGAAGTGGGATTGATGATTGCTCCCTGCTTGTGGCCACTGACTCAGTGCTCAACATGCATCTGCTCTCTTGCAAGATGCAAAGGAGTCCTTTGTTTCCTTTGGCATTCTGCAGAAAGGTCAGCTGGTTCATTTGTGTGGCCATGTGCAGCTCTTTGCAGTCCAGACTGTCCTGTGATGCAAGATGGCTGGAGGGGGGGGGGTTGTGTGACTGGGGAGCCAGAATCTGGAGGGTCGCACGATTGCCAGGTAGTTCGTTGGGGAAAACCTTTATAGAAACCAAACACCATCAGATCAGAGGCAAAGACAGGTGATCAGGAGTCAAAGAGCGAGGGAATCAGCCTTAAAATGGAGTGTTTATGGTCATGGCCTTGAGGTCTTCAGACTTCAAAGGCAGCCCCATATAGAACATGTTCCACTAAGAAGTTACCACCACAAGGGGGTCATAGCTGGCAAATCAACCTGATCTGGGAAAAGGCCACTGGGCCTCCAGTGAGAATGTCAAAATGAGAAGCACCCCACAAACTGCCAACCTGCTCTTTCCAGGAGGGTACAACCCAGTCCAGGGTGGACTACCTCTCCACTTGCAGGACATGAGATCCTGAGACACATAACACCTTTGTCTGGAAGGGCACTGATACCTTTGGCAGCAGGTACGGCCACATAGTTAGTATATGGGATGCAGGTGGTGCTGTGGTTAAACCACAGAGCCTAGGGCTTCCCGATCAGAAGGTTGGCGGTTCGAATCCCCGCGATGGGGTGAGCTCCCGTTGCTCGGTCCCTGCTCCTGCCAACCTAGCAGTTTGAAGGCATGTCAAAGTGCAAGTAGATAAATAGGTACCACTCCGGCGGGAAAGTAAACGGTGTTTCCGTGCGCTGCTCTGGTTCGCCAGAAGCGGCTTAGTCATGCTGGCCACATGACCCGGAAGCTGTACGCCGGCTCCCTCGGCCAATAGAGCGAGATGAGCGCCGCAACCCCAGAGTCGGTCACGACTGGACCTTATGGTCAGGGGTCCCTTTACCTTTTACCTTTGGGAACAGGTTCATCCACATAGTTAGCATAGTATTAAGCCTGGTCCATTTTAATAACTCCTGTAAGGGTTGTTTAAATACACAGATCAAGACGGGTTGTCCTTTAAAGCTCCAGTTCCTGAAACACCTGGCTTTATTAGCAGGTTTGTGTCCCTCTTTCTCAAAAAAAGAAATCCTAACATGTGTCTGAATCCTTTTAAAAAAAAAAACAAGAAGGGACATGGCGGGGGGGGGGAGGAATCCTACAATCCATCATGCGCTCATTTGCATTTAGATAGATATTTAAGCTGCATTGTTAATAATGGCTCTTTGATTTAATAAATCCAGCCTGCTTGGGTGACTGCATGTCGCTCTGGTGAGCCAGCCCTCCCCTTCCTCCTCCTCCATGCCCCGCCTTTTATATTTGAATTGGACAAGCTGGGGGAGCCAGCGCTTGTTTGTGTTTAGAATAGCGCGTGTGATTAATGAGCTTTGCAGAAGCTGGCAGAATTGAAAGCTGCGAGCATGGAACGATTCTGGGTTACGCCGCTGTGTGTTTCCAGGGGTGTTCATAGGAAGTAATTATTAACTGCTTAGCGGCACAGTTTGAGTGGATGTCTCGGCAAACGCCTCCCCCCATTGCCTTGAAAGGCTGCCAAATCTCCTCTGGAGTAAAACTCTGGGAAGGCTTCCTTTGCGGTGGCTCGTAAGGATGGGCATGCAGCCTTCTCAGTGTGGAGAAGGATCAGGGCTTGTCCAGGATGGTGAGAGTAATAGTATCATTGCTCTATTCTGCCTTGGTCAGACCACACCTGGGGTCCTGTGTCCAGTTCCGGGCACCACAGCTTAAGGAGGATATTGATAAACTGGAAGGTGTGCAGAGGAGGGTGACCATGATGGTCAAAGGTCTGGAAACCAAGCCTGATGCGGAGCAGTTGAAGGAGTTAGGTATGTTTAGCCTGGAAAAGAGGAGATGTGATATGGTAGCCATCTTCAGATATCTGAAAGGCTGTCACATGGAAGATGGAGCGAGTTTGTTTTCCACTGTTCCAGAGGGTAGGAACAGACCTAACAGATTCAAGTTACAAGAAAGGAGATTCTGACTAAAACTTAGGAAGAATATTCTGAAGGTAAGAGTTGTTCAACAATGGAATGACCCACCTCCTAAGGTTGTGGACTCTCCTTCACTGGAGGTCTTAAGTAGAGGTTGGGTGGCCACCTGCCAGGTCTTCTTTAGCTGTGATTCCTGTATTGCAGGGTGTTAGGTCTCTTAGCCTCAATTCTATTATTCTAGGCTGGTGGGGAAGTGTTGGGATTTGCAGTTCAAAGAGGAGGAACTGGAAGGGTGGGCCACAGGGGAAATTCTCACATCCCCATGGTCATCCTTCTAAGAAACTGCAGAGGGCCTCCTGGTATGTCCCACAGAGAAATCTACGGTCTGCAAATAAAAACATCCTAAAGATCCCAGGCCACAAAGAGGTTAGGCTGGCCTCAACTAGAGCCAGGGCCTTCTCGGTCGCGGCTCCAATCTGGTGGAACACTCTGTCACAAGAGACTAGGGCCCTGCAGGACCTGACATCCTTTCACAGGGCCTGCAAGACAGAGCTGTTCCACCAGGCCTTTGGTCAGGGCACAGCCTGACCCCCTCCTCTGGCAATCGGCAATCTGCACAGAATTTGGCTTGATGGTTGCCATTAATTTGATTTTAATTTAATTTGATTTAATTAATTTTATAATGAATGTTTTAGAATGTCGGATTATTTTGATTGTTGTTAGCCGCCCTGAGCCCAGCTTCGGCTGGGGAGGGCGGGATAAAAATAAAATTTATTATTATTATTATTAGTGGCACCCGCCCTGGTTCCCTGTAACTTGGCATCTTGCAGTGAGGGAACAGCCAGCAGGCCCTCAGCGCTGGACCTCATAGTCCAGGCAGAAATATGGGAGTATTGTGTGTGAGAAGTGAATTCTCTGGAGGCAGCGCCTGATGCAAATGTACACCTTAAATATCTTGATTCTCAGAACATCAGGTGAAGATTGGGGGATGGATGTGAAGCCTCTTTTTCTGTTAAGTGCCTTATTCCCTTGGGGATAATTGGCCGGGGGCCACACACATAACAGTGGTTGAAGCAGCAGCAAAACGTGTACAGGGAAAGACCTGAAATAGCCAAGTCTGTCCGTCTCTGACACTCCTTTTTCTTCCTCTCCCATTCTCTATTTAATAAGAATAATAAATTTTATTTATACCCTGCCCTCCCCAGCCAGAGGCGGGCTCAGGGCAGCTAACACCAATAAAATCACAGTAAAAACATAATAGGGGGGAAAGAGAAGGGGGGGACCCAAATTAAAATACAGGTTAAAATGCAATTTAAATTGCAGCCTCATTTTAAAGTAGCCGATAAATCAACACCATAAGGGGAGGGAAACGTAAGGGTGAGACCGAGTCCAAACCAAAGGCCAGGCGGAACAGCTCTGTCTTGCAGGCCCTGCGGAAAGATGTCAAGTCCCGCAGGGCCCTAGTCTCTTGTGAGAGACTGAAAAGGCTGAAAAGGCCCTGGCCCTAGTTTAAACCAATCTAACCTCCTTGAGGCTTGGGACCTCCAAAGTGTTGTTATTTGTGGACATTAAGGTCCTCCATGGGGCATACCAGGAGAGGTGGTCCTATAGGCACGTGGGTCCTAGGCCGCACACCCCATTCACTTTCTTTCTGACACTCCTCTTTCCCCCTCTTTCTCTTTGACTTTCTCTCTCTCTCTCTCTCTCTCTCTCTTTCTCTGACACCCAATTCTCTCTTCTTCATCGCTACCCATCAGGCTAGAAGGGGAACCACAGGTGGCTCTTCCAAGAGGTCTGACCACTTGCCGAGGGCTTTCCCAATGAGGCCGAGCCCCACATTCAGCCTTCAACCCGTAGGTTGACCACCCCAAATGTTGTCCACAGAGTTCATCCACCTGACAAGCAGACCATATATCACCGGTCTTGAAAGATCTTCATTGGCTCCCAGTACGTTTCCAAGCACAATTCAAAGTGTTGGTGCTGAC